AGCCAGGCCACAGACTGGCCACAGCCAGACCACAGCCAGGCCACAGACTGGCCATAGCCAGACCACAGTCAGGCCACACCCAGACCACAGCCAGGTCACAGACTGGCCACAGCCAGACCACAGCCAGGCCACAGACGGGCCATAGCCAGACCACAGTCAGGCCACACCCAGACCACAGCCAGGTCACAGACTGGCCATAGCCAGACCACAGTCAGGCCACACCCAGGTCACAGACTGGCCACAGCCAGACCACAGCCAGGCCACAGCCAGGCCACAGCCAGACCACAGCCAGACCACAACCAGGCCACAGGCAGGTACAGTCAGACCACAGACAGGCTACAGTCAGACCATAGACTGGCCACAGCCAGACCACAACCAGGCCACAGGCAGGTATAGTCAGACCACAGCCAGGCCACAGGCCTAGATGGTGTATGGTGACACTAACATCAGGGAAGCACTGACCTCCTTGACCTAACTGCCCCAGATCTAAGGGCAGCACTGGCTGAGGGACAAAGCTCAGAAGGGACAGAAAAAAAGAATGAATGGAAACACAGGCAGGAAGCAGGCAGAGTGCCGCCACCTTTGGAGGACTGCAGTTAACGTCACCTAACAAAGCATTATGTTTAATGGAGACTCATTCACTCTGCAAACACTAACAAAAATCATGATAAAAAGCTGCTGTTTTGGGTAGTCTTTTTAAAAAAAACACCAAAAAACGATGCATTCACAAAACTTCCAAAACTGGACTGAAGGACTCTCAGTGGAGAGGTGCCGGGAATCTAAGGTTGTGGTCCTCCCTTACAGAGTCCTCACACCTCAGGCCACACAGCAGCCGCCCTGGAGGAGCACGCTGCGAGGAGGCTCCCCCTCGCTGAACGGCAGCCAGCCAGGGGCAAAGCTCCTCAGAGTGGAAGGGACACCAAATCACGGAAGGAGCCGCTGGGGTGATGCCGCACCATGGGGACAGCCGACCGCGTCTCACCAGCTGGGGCCATGCTGCACCATGGGACAGCCGATCGCATGTCCCTAACTGGATGCGCACTGTGGGGACAGCCGATTGTGTCTCGCTAGCTGGGCAATGCCACACCATGAGGACAGCCAATCACATCTCCCTAACTGGGGATGCTGCACTGTGGGTACAGCCGATCGCATCTCCCAGCTGGATGCCACACTGTGAGGACAGCCGATTGTGTCTCGCTAGCTGGGCAATGCCACACCATCCATGAGGACAGCCAATCACATATCCCTAACTGGGGTGATGCCACACCATGAGGACAGCCAATAGAATCTTCCCAGCTGGATGCCGCACTGTGGGGACAGCCGATCGCATCTCCCAGCTGGGGCGATGCTGCACCGTTGGGACAGCTGACTGTGTGTCCCTAACAGCAGGGACAGCCGACCACGTCTACCAAACCACACAGCTGGGCTCCGTCCGTCAGCATTACTTACTCCCTCAGCCCACAAGAAACTCCTGGCCTTTATTTTCTAATGTGTTTTTATTACTGCTCTTTTCTGAACAATTAAAATACACTCACCTTGTTAAGAAGGAAAACACAGAGAATCACAAGAAAAGTATTCACAGGATGGAAATCAGTTCTCAAGTTTTGTTGAAGATGCACACAGCAAAATACACCCATTCAGCTGCCTGTCTCTGTACCACCAATCACATTCTTCCTTGTCTACAACCCCCCCCGCCCCCCCACGAGCTGCTCTTCCCCCAGGGACACAGCCCCCCTGACCCTAAGGGGTTTTTTATTTGTTTGTTTGGTTTTTGACCCTAAGGGGTTTTTTTTTATTTTATTATTTTTGTGTGCGTGTACCGTCAAATCAGATCTGACTGGTACAGGAGGAGATTGTCCCTCCTTCCCCGGCAGAGCATCTGGTGGATTCAAACCGTGCGCCTCTGGGATTGTAGTTGCAGCTCCTTGCCACTAGGCCACCAGAGCTCCCCTGACCCTAAGGGTTTTATAACTTGTCAATCGGATCCCACACAGACGGGTCTTTCAAAAGGAACAACGCTCACAGCAGACATTTTTTAGTAAGCTAAACTACCGTTTGGTTTAAAATTTCAGAGAATACTTCTGGTTTAAGGCTTGCAAGATTACTTCAGGGCAACAGTTTTAGGAGTTCAGTTCGGTCTCAGTGGATCCAGAGAAATAGCATTTCTGTTCTTCACTTTCTCCTCTTTTGAGAAGAATTCCTCTGTGCACTCTGGTCACACAGTTGTGTTCTTAACTATCCTCTGAGGAATGAACAAACAACATGAGGTGGGAGTAGACGTTGTCATTGTGGAGATGACACACTACACGTCTCAGTCAGGTTACAGCAGCTGTTGCCAGCATTAACACTGAAGAACCGCCTCCCCTCAGGGTAAAAAGAAGACAGCCAAAAAAAAAAATAAAAATAAAAAAAAAAAGAAGAAGAGAGCCACCAGCAATGCCACCCACCCAGAGGCAGCCAGCGTGCTGGCATTTTTACCTCTTGAGATTGGTTCAGTCTGGGATGGTCTTCATTTAACACCAACAAGAGGGCAAACAAGAACATCACGAAGCCATGACCAAAGTCTCCAAACATCACGGCAAACAGGAAGGGGAACGTGATGATGGTGAAGAGAGCTGTGGGGGAAAGAGGGCGTCAGAGGCTCTGATGCACCGCGAGCTCGTCCACAGCCGGCTGGCAGCACTCACGGAGCTGGCCGTCTCCACAAGACCACCTTCTCCCTCGAGACAAACTCAGAGGGCAGATGGGGTACGTCAGCCTACACAGAGGGCCACTGACGGGCGCCTGCTTTCCTGAGCACCCTCATATCCAGAAAAACAGCAGGAGAGGGGAAAACGCAAAGGCTGGCCCCGCGCCGCCCACCTGGGTTCACTTCCCGGTAGCTGCCCACTCCGTAGGCATCCACGATGTTCTGGAAGCCCTCTGTGAACTTGTTGGTGCGGATGAGGGTCGGCGGGGTTTCTTTCGTTGGGATTGTGTTCATGAAAGAGGGCATCGTGGCTCCACTCTCTCTCTTCCACATGAAAAAAAGGGAGAGAAAAATTATTGTCTAGGAACTCTTTCAACAAATACTGGTCACTGCTAGGTATCAAGGAGTCCTGGCAACACAGTGGGTTAAGTGTTGTGATACAAACTAAAAAGTCATCAGTTCAAACCCACCATCCACCTCATAGGAGAAAGACACAGCAGTCGGCTTCTGGAGGGTCAGAGTCTCGGGAACCCTCCGAGCATTCTCCGGGGCCCCGCAGGGTGGCTGCGAGTCAGAACCAATCAATGGCAGAGTTTGGTTTGGGTTGGCCACCTGTCAGCACTCATCCCAATAATGTAACAAATTCAAAGATTCAGATGTGTAATAGTATCCTTCACTGTTTCCAATTCCTCTAAATAATAAATTGGACTGAACACCTAAAACTTTTAATCAAATAAGTTCTTACCAGAAAAGCAGATTTTCACAGTACAATATTATTTATTAAAACACACATATGCAACATAAGGAGATTCTAAAAAACCCCAGTGCATAGTCTCTACTCTCCCTCAATGGTGCAGGAGGCTGGACGGCACAGTATTTAAACACTCCTCAGCTGGTAACCAAAAGGGTGGCGCTTCAGCTTCACCAGCTGCTTGATGGAAAAAAAGATACGGCAGTCTTTGGTAGAATGAAAAATTAATTTGCTCTATAATTTTTTTTTTAATTTTTATTACTTTTTATGAGTGTACCATCAAATCGGATCTGACTGGTACAGGAGGAGATTGTCCCTCCTTCTTCAGCAGAGCATCTGGTGGATTTGAACTACATACCTCTGGGATTGTAGTGCAGCTTCTTGCCTCTAGGCCACCAGAGCTCGCCTAATTTGCTCTATAAATAGTTACTCAAACAAAAACGAAACAGAACCAGAACAAACCCAGTATGAAAGGAATGAGAAATAAAAACACGGTTTCAGAAATGAAGAGTTCTAGGAGAAACTCAAACACAAACTCAAATATCTTAAGAGAAAAAGAAGGTGGTGAACAGATAGGAAATTTTTAACAAATCAGAAAGAAGAGAAACCACAAAGAATCAAGAAATACAATAACAGCTCCTATGTAATTTACTGTCTTTGAAAACCTGCTGGAGGATCAGCTATGAGTTGGTTCTGACTAACAATTTTTTAAATAAATTCTTTCACAGATAATAAAGATGGCAGGCAGCCCTGAATAAGAAAATCAAAACAAGGGGACAGAATAATTGCTAAAGTGTTTAGGCTCAGGAGAAATTTCGGGGTGGGGGGGGTGGAGATCGAAAAATAGGTATTAAAGGAACACATCATACCTCTAAAAACAAAGTGAAGCAAAATTAAACAACTTTAAAAAGAAAAAAGGGGAAATCGCGCGAATCCCATTGTAAGAGAAATTATGTGACACGCCAGGAAAAGAGAGGCTCTTTGGCATTGGGTTTTCACTTTAAGACCAAAGAACACAGCAGAAGCAAGTGCAAGGGGAAATTCCACGGGCCAAAGACACTATTTCTGGGAAAAGTAACTTCCAATTGTAAAGGCAGCAGACGGACAATGACATCATTGTGCCCCATGTCCCCCCTAAAGAATCCATTAAAACAATTACTAAATGGGCAAAAGACATGGAAAGACTTTTCGCAGAGAAAGACATTTGGATGGCCAACAGACACATGAAGAAATGTTCAAAATCACTGGCAGTAAGAGAAATGCAAATCAAAACCACATGAGATCCCATCTCACTCCAGTAGCAGTGGCAAAGTTTAACAGGACAGCAAACAATAAATGTTGGAGAGAATGTAGAGATAGAACTCTTAGACATTGGTGGTGGTACGTAAAATGGAACCACCACTCTGGAAGGCAATTTGGTGCTTCCTCAGAAAGCTGAACACAGAAATTCCATTATGACCCAGCTATTTCACTGCTTGGAATATACCCCGAGAAACTGAGACCTGAGATACAAACAGAGACTTGTACACCAACATTTATAGCAGCATTATTTACCATCACAAGAACGTGGAAACAGCCCAAATGTCCAACCACAATGGGTCTGAGAAATTATGTTACATGCACACGATGGAATACTATGCAGCACACAGGAGCAATGATTTCGTTAATTACTACGTAACTTGGGAGGGACTGAAGAGCACTATACTGAGTGAACCAACTCAGTCCCATAAGGACAAACACTGTGTGAGACCATTATTGTAGAAATATAAAGATAACTAGTAAACGGGTGTGAGTACCCAAGGGGGGGAGGGGGGCTTAATCATAGGGTCACACAATTTGTTGGGTGGAGGGAGGGGTGGGTTAAGGAAGTGGGAAATATCTCCTGTGAAAAACAATATATGAATTTTGTAAGTAAGCCAAGTATAAAATAAAAAGTTTATATTAAAATAAAGAATGTGTTAGAGAAGCAGCTTCAAGGACAGGGCAGTCTGTCTCTGGCTCGGGCAGCCCCAGCCCCGTGTGTCGGGTAGAGCTCAGCCCTCCAGGGTTCTCAGGCGCTGATTTCTCACGCTTAGCGGGCCAGGTCTTTCCTCTGAGGCGTCTCTGCTGAGTCTGAATACCCAGCCTTCGGGTTAGCGGCCAAGTGTTTAACCGATTGTCCCCTGAGTAATATGCACCGTTTCTGTTCTGAAGAGTCGACATGGACCCTGAGTCGTGTGCCCCTCCAAGGTGCCCCCGAGTCCCCCGGCCGTGCTGGCCCTGGCGGGCGAGGCCAGGCTGACCTACCGAGCCGTCCTCCAGTGCCCGGCGCAGCTCTGGCAGGTCGGCCTCGGGGCACCAGACTTCCGCGATGAGGCACTTGTTGGTGACATCGAAGCTGCACATGTTGAGCATGTGGTAGATGGCTTTCATCTTCTTCACCTGGACCACGCGGCTGTACACCGACTCAGCGGCCTTGCACAGCACCTGCCTCAGGTAATCCTCAGTCCTGTGGAGCACCTGGGGAGGACACGGGGGTCAGCATGGGGGGCATCGCGTCCATCCAGAGCCCTGGGTTCTTCAACGAGCCTGTCCCCCATCACCCCACCCCTCTGGTGTGGCCTTCTGGGAGCTGCTCCCCCTCCTCCACAGTCAGATGCTGTCGCACGGGATGTGGGAGCAAGTCCGTGAGGAAGCAGCAGGGCTTCGAGCCGCGTCCATCAGTCACGCAGCCCACGTGAGCAACCGTGTCTGTGTCCATGACATCTGGACCGTGGCCCAAAGGAAACAGCAGTGTCCCGCTGAGGGACAGTGTGTGCTGCTCTCCGGCCAGCGTCCTGCATCGGCCTGACCCCTGCTGAGGGAGGCGCTGGGGCAGGACTGAGAGCAGCTATCAGAGGGCTGTGCAGACAGCACGCACTCCAAGCAGCCCGCTCAGGCAGGGTGACCAGGTTGGTCCGTCCACTCTCTAGTCCTGGGACCCAGGGGCGTCCAGGAGACATCGCCATGCTGGCTCAACGGCCGTGCTCCCCCACTGCAGTGACATCCTCCACCTCTTGTCTGCTCCCAAGCTTGACCTGGCCCCCTGAGCTCTGCAAACCCCCAGCACCCACCCATCCTGTTCTCCCAGTGGATTGATTCTCTTTTGCATAACTGAGTCTAGACCTGTTTCTGTAACTTAATACCAAGAACGCAGAGGTGATCAGAACTGCTCATGGAAACAAGACAGGTATTTGCCACTTGGCCATCAATGTCAAAAAACAAAACATGTGGAGAGTTCTGGTGGCCTAGTGGCAAGGAGCTGCAACTACAATCCCAGAGGCACACGGTTCGAATCCACCAGATGCTCTGCCGGGAAAAGGAGGGACAATCTCCTCCTGTACCAGTCAGATCTGATTTGACGGTACACTCACACAAAAATTAAAAAAAAACAAACATGTATAAACTCATGTAGGGAAAACTAATGTGCTCTGTAAACTCTCACCCATATGGCAATAAAGATTTTAAAAGACAAATAATACATTTAAGATACGCATTGCTTCTGTATCCTCCAGCCCCTAACATAGTCCTAATACATAGCAAATACTCAAAAAATGTTATACCTGTTACCCTAGCCCCAACTGCTGGGTCTCATATGTATGAAAAGTAAAGAAAAATAAGAGAAAATAAAAAGAAATAATAATACCTGTCACCTAAAATGGGGCTGAAATATCTTTCATGATCAAGAATGACAACCCAGCACACCAAAGACAATCAGAAAATCTTGCTCTGAAGTCCCATTGCTGCCTCTTGTTAACTGACTGCTGAGGTGAAATGCATGGCGAGGGCGGAGCAGAGGGATATTCTGACTTCACTCAAAAACGCCACCCAAATCATCCCCGTCTACAGACACACGCAGCAAATGGGTTCCCAGTGTCAACAAACCCAAATCATCCCCGTCTACAGACACATGAAACAAATGGGTCCCTGGTGTCAACAGAGCCTCACTCGTCCCTGTCTATAGAGATCCTAAATAAACAGGTCCCCGGTGTCCCGGGCCTCAGCCCAGGGGCAGCAGGTGGGGTCCACTCACAGTGTAGAGGTCCTGGATGCGCGTGTTGAGTCCCTCCTGGATTGCCCTGCGCTCCTCGGCCGTGTTGGGGTATGGGTAGACGTGGCAGTGGTAACTGGAAGACAGAGGAAGCTCGGTCTCATGCCTGCGGTCACTCCAAGCGGCCGCTGTGAAAACCAGAAGGAAACTCAATTCGGCACCGGCATGTGGTTCCTCCTGAAGGGAAGGCCAGCCGTTATCCGCGTTATGGGGATGACGGTCAGCAGCGACAGCCTCCCCACTAACCAAACGCTCAGGCCGATCCGTTTCTGCCCCTGATGGGTCCAACCTCACGAACGCCCCACAGCCTCGGCCTGGCCTATTTATCATCAGGCGTCGAGTGGGTTCTGACCCAGCAATGTGGCAGCAGAGTACCGCCCCAAAGGGCTGCCTAGGCCGCGATCTTCCCGGCCCTTCACCAGGGCTTCGGCAGAGTGGGTTCAAATGCTGACTTTTCCGCTAGCAGCTGAGAGCTTCCACAACCAGGCTGGATTCCCAAGAGGAGGAGAAATGAAATCCAGGAACTTAACTAACACGACCCCTACTTTTGAATGAATTTAAATAAGGAAACCAGCAAAAAAGGCAACCAATCAGGTTTTTAAGAACCTGGGATGACAACAGAGATATCATGGCAGGAAACCCAGTAAGCCATCTGCCCATCTTATTCCTTTTCTAGTACAGGGTGACACATCATGAAGACGAGGGTACAGAGGCACCCTGGTGGCCCAGTGGTTCAGTGCTAGGCCGTGGGAGAACGATGTGGCAGGCAAATGTCAGCCGGTGAGCCCTGAAGGAGCAGTCCTGACCTGTCCTCAAGAGTAACTACAAATCGGAACTGACTCAGTGGTGTGCAACTAGAGGTTACTGAGTAAAAATAAGTCACGGATGTGAAAGTTCCTTCTCTTACCAATCACAGATCTTCTTAACCTTGTAGCCAATCTGCTCTCCCCAGAAGGATATCAGAAACACATACCACTTTATGACTTCTCCCTACAAGGAATGAATGAGGAGAGTGTTACTTCTGGTGGAATCACTTCCAGACCTCTCATGTGCGAACTTTCAAAGGCTCGGTTCCTCCAGTCACTCAGCCAACACATAAAGATAGCAAATCCGCAAAGGTGGGCAGGCTGTGCCTGGCGCTGTCCTAGGTGCTGAGGAGAGAGCGCTGAGCTAGCCGGGCAGAAACCTCGAGCCCAACAGGGGAGGAGCACACTCCCCACACAAGAACATAAGGGCCGCAACTACTCCAGGATCAAGGCCAGAAGGCAGGAGAGGTGCGGAAAGCACGAAGGGAAAGGAGCGCCGGCGGAGGCCACGAGGAGACTGGTGCTCCACGAGGCGCAGAGCACATCCTGAGACACGGCGTGCACGCACTGCTGAACAGAAAGCAACCTGCACTGTAAACTGCGCCCACCTGTGTAGGGATTGTCGGGTGGAAATCTCATCTTTCCACCAACTCAAAACTAAAAAGTAAAACAAGAAGAAACTCGTAGCACGGGAGAAGGCAAGTCACTGTACTCAAGGGAACAAGAGAGTCAAACAAGACATGTCCTATGTTCGAAGGCTGGATGCTTCAGAGAACACACAGTGGGAAGAGAGGCAGGTGGGACAGTGGGCGCTGCGGCTTCTCAGAGGACGAAGCAGGCGGCCTCACTGAGAAGAGGTCACCAGGGCCTGAAGAACGAAGGTGGGAGAGGGAGCCACGTGGACAGGGATGCACTGAGGGCAAGAGAGAAGAACACTGAAGCCACTGACAAGGAAGCTGCTCCCAAAACATCCTTTTAACAATTTCCGAAACAGTGCGGTATCAGGAAACAGGCTGCACCGAGGCCCAAGAGGGCACAGGCGCATGAAAGATGAAGATGACACGACCAAGTGGAGCCGCCCAAGTCTGCTTTCTGCGCAGTGG